TATTCACTATAATGACATATTCACTACTGCTAATTCCAGAACATTTCTATCATCCCAAAAAGAAACTCTGCGCCTATTAGCAGCCGGTCCCAATTTCCTTTATCGCCTCTCCTAATCTACTTTCTACTTCTGGATTTGCCTATTCTAGACATTTCATATAAATGTACATAAAATATGTATATTTGATGTAAATGTTTATACAATATGTGGCATTTTGTGTCTAGCTTTTTTCACTTATATTGTTTTTCAAGGTTTATTTCAAAGTCGTAGCATAGTTAATACTCCTTTTTATGACTGAAAAATATTCCATTATGTGGGTATAATTTTGTTTATCCATTCATTAGTTGATGGACATTTGGGTTGTTTCTACTTTTTGTCTATTATGAAAAACAGTGCTGTGACATTTGTATACAATTTTTGTGTAGACAGATGTTTTTATTTCTCCTGGGTATATACCTAAGAGTGGAATTGCTGGCTCATAATGGTAATTCTATATTTAACTTTTTAAGAAACTACTAAGTTATTTCTCATAGTGACTGCACTATTTTACATTCCTACCAGCAATTTATGAAGGCTCTAATTTCTCCATATCTTTGCTAAAACATTATCTATCTGTCTTTTGATTCTAGCCATCCTGATGCATATGAAGTTTTACCTCATTATGATTTTGATTTGCTTATCCCTAATAACTACTAATGTTCAGCATCTTTTTAGTTGGTTATTGGCCATTTGTATATCTTCTTCAGAGAGATGTCTATTCAAATCCACACATTTTTTGGTTGAGTTATTTATCTTTTTATTGGTGAGTTGTAAGAGTTTTTATGGATACAGGTCTCTTTCAGATATATGATTTGCAGATTTTCTCTCAGGTTGTCTTTTCACTTTCTTGAATGGTATCCTTTGATGCAGAAAAGTTTTCAATTTTAATGAAGTCAAATTTATTATTTTTTTGATTGCTTGTGCTTTCGTTGTTCTAAGAAGATATTATCTAATCAGATGTCGTGAAGATTTACACCTATGTTTTCTTCTATGAGTTTTATAGTTTTAGTGCCGATATTTAGGTCTTTGACTCATTTTGAGTTAATTTTTCTTTATGTTGTGAAGGAAGAGTTCAAATTCATTCTTTTATATGTAGATAGCGAAATTCTTATGTTTTTTTTGTTCTGTCATTGTACATATCCTTATAATACTAATTTCTAGAAAATTATACTAATTTTCATAAAGCACTGATAAATGAAAACTTCACTGAGATTTTTGAAACTTTAAAAAATATTTTTCTTATTACAGACTTTAAATTTAAAATAAATATAAACCCTGAGGACAAAATTGATTTAACAATATTTATTGAGTATACTGATTTTATTATATTATTGTGTGACTTTTATTAGAATTGAATACATTCTTCTAGATAACAATCTTGAGTTTACAATATCCAGAGATGTAATACTTTGTAACCTAGATTCTGTTATTAGTAACCAATCCACTCATTTATTTTTGCTAACTCCTAAAACTTTATTTTTTAGTGATTTACTTTTTTAAAATCACAAGGGAATTTAGGCAGGTGGTTTTATTTTTACCTATTTTGTATGTTTGAAGTTGAAAGAGAGGCTAAAAATAATGTCTACCAAAGAGTAAAAGAAAAAGAATTACACAGCTCAGTTCAGGTATTTTTCCCCATCTGTAATAATCATAGCATACAACCAAGCTGTTTCTATGGAGAATAATAATTGTGGAAAGGTGAAAGAAATGTCTCTGTAAATTTATTGAAGAGAGATTTATATAAAAAATTATAATCAGGTCAGAAAGCTTAGTTCTTTCTGTCAGTTGGTAGTCACAGAAATAGCTTCTTTTTGCAAATTATTCTTTGAAATATTTTAGGTTTTATATAATTATGATGACAGGTTTATTTCCTATTCTTTTCTCATTCCACAAGTGTATTTGGAGAAAGTGACCTTTTAAAATGTTTTTTTTTTTTTTAAATTTCTTCCTAGATGCTCATTCTACACATGGAAGGTCCAATTTTAGAGACGAAAGATCTAGTAAAACGTATGAACGTTTACAGAAAAAATTAAAGGACCGCCAAGGAACACAGAAAGACAAAATGAGCAGTCCACCATCATCACCCCAGAAATGCCCTTCTCCCATAAGTGAACATAATGGACTTATAAAAGGGCAGAGTGCTAGTGGGGTAACAGGATCAGCAAAGAGCAAGTCAGGAAAAGGCAAGGGTGGCGCACAAATTGATACAGAAATAGAAGGTAAGTATTTAAATTACTCAACTATTAGTTTTGTTACTTTTCATTAATATTTAATCTCCTAAAAGTACATTCTAACCTTTCAGTCATTTCTTCATGCTCCAAATAAATTATAGATTAATCGCCTAACACTTCCTAAATATTAGAAAATGTTTTAGAACCTAAATTGTTACTAGGGTACTTCTTTTTTACGATTGGGGCGGGGGGCTCAATTAGCAATTTTACCTATCTCATAAATTTTACTAACCAAGAGAAATTTCTGTTTGATAGGAAAACTCAGATAACGTACATTCAGATTTCTTTCTGGACTTTTGATAAGGCTATGCTGGTTTTTATCAAAACTCTTTATTTCTCCCAACTTCTTTATATGTAAGATCCTGATAGCAACTAGTTTTGTCATTCACCAATCTACAGAGGATGCCAATAAAATGTATACACATTTTAAGAGATGTTATCTATGCTCAAGCAGTTGTTCGCCATAATCAGAAGTGTCCGGACACTTGATGGTAACAACTTGGAGCACCTCTTATAATTGCAGAAGTCAAACGTGATTTGTTGTCATCTTTTGTTATTAGTATATATTGAGTATTACAATTTTAATACAGTTTTTTCCTTTCTTAAAATACGTGTGCATTTTTTTGGTACCCTTTGTATATACTCTATAGTTAGAGTATTCGCGATTCCTTTCTTCAAAAATTTTTTTCTCTCAAAATTCTCATGTTTCCCTTGGATCCTTCCTCTAACCTGTGACTTGCACCACATGAACTCTGGGCACTGCTTCCTTTTTTAAAAAATTCCCATTCCCCACCACCAAGTTTTTTTGTTTTGTTTTTTTAAAAAAAGATTTTATTGGGGAATTGGGAGAAGGGAGCAGTGTTGGGGAATCGGGGAAGGGGAGCACACAAATTGCTATTCTTTGGTTCTTCAGTCTAGTTGTGGAGGACGTTGCCTCACTGGCCCATGTTGCTATTATCTTCCCAGGTGAGAAAGATCGGTAGCCGGCTTCTGGACGGCTGCTCACAGGGGCTCTTGGCAGCTCACACCGGCTGCTGGCCGCTCATGCCGGCTGCTGGCCACACATGGTAGCTCACGGCAGCCCACTGCAGCAGGGGCTGCAGCCTATGCTGTCGCCAGCGACTCAACGGCATCCCAGCTCCAGGCTGAGCTGTTGTTCACCATTTTAGCTGTAGAGGGCAGTGTCACTGGCCCTCAGGGGGGATCCGAATCAGGGCCCTGCTGCACAGAGCTGGTGTCCCAAGCCAGCTCTTAACCAATGCGCCACTCGGCTGGCCCCGCCCACCACCAAGTTTTAATGCTATAACAGTTTCTCGGCTTGTTTGTTAACATTTACAAAAACATTCTCTCATAGTTTTGAGACCTCCTGATCATTCTTTTTCAGCACTGATGTTTCATTATAGTTAACTTAAAGTTTGAGATATGTCAGTGGTGGCTATAAATTATGGTCAAGTCAATCATATTCCTATTTTGGGAACCACAATTAAGGCATGTCATGAAAGAAATACTCAGCTTGTCATTAAGAGGTATGAGATTGGCACATGAGAACTTTGTAGAGAAAAGTATTTTTACAACTATGAATAAAAATATATTTTCTGTAAGAAACATATAGTGTATTATAATTAATAATCACGGTTAAAATGAAAATAGAAACTGAAGCAGAAGAATCCTGAAGAGCCACAAACTGTTGAATATAAACTAAGGAGTAAAAACTAGAAAATAAAAATCTCAAATACTAACCTAGTTTCAGAAGACATTGTAGAGGGAATGGGATTTGATTTCATTTAAGCTCATTTTTTAATTTTTTTTTTGTTGTTTTTAAGAAAAAGATGAAGAAACTAAAGCGTTTGAAGCACTTCTTTCCAACATTGTCAAGCCGGTGGTAAGTATATTATGTATTTTCTTTACGTTTATATTTAGTGTATTCATATAGGATTTTGGTACATAAATTTTTTTAAATAAACATTATTCAAATTAATTTCACCAGCTTTTTCTTACTGTTTACTTATTTAATTTTTTTTTATTGGGGAAGGGGAACAGTGTTGGGGAACTGGGGAAGGGGAACAGCCAAGTTGTTGTCCTTCAGTCTTAATTGTGGAGGGCGCAGCAAGCTCAGCTCCAAGTCCATTCGCCATCTGGCCACCTGTTGGCAGCTCGTGGCTGCTCAGCTCAAGGTGCTGTGTTCAATCTTAGTTGCGGGTGGGCATATCCCACCATCCCATGCGGGAGTTAAACAGGAAGCCTTGTTGCTAAGAGTGCACACTCTAACCACTGAGCTATTCGGCCAGCCTGATTTTGGTATATTTTTGTTCAGGCCTTACTTAAAACTTAACTCTATATAAGGAATATGAGGNACTAAGATTTCTCAACCTCAACACTGTTGATGTTTGGGGACTGGTCTATTGTAGAGGACAGGACTGTGCTTTGTAGGACGTTTAGCCCTCCACCCACTAGGTGCCAATAGTGCACAACTCTAACCCTCTCCTCACCCCCACCCAGTTGTGACAACTAAAAATATCTCCAGACATTGCCAAATGACCCCTGGGAGCCAAAATTGGCCGTGGTTGCAAACCGCTGTCCTGTGGCCTCTGACTACTTTATTTACCCCACTTGTCCCCACCATCCACCTTCAGTTTTTCAGAACACCCAAGCTCTCCTGCCTCAGTGCCTCTGCACATGGTGTTATCTGTACCGGGAATGCTCTTCCCCCTTTTCTGTGGAAGACTTTTTTTTTCCTTTAGATTTCAGCTTTTAGAGAAACCTTCCCTGACCTTGCTTTATCGATCTCTAGCAGTGAAACCTGTTTGTTTCTTTCACAGAACTTGACACGGTTTGATTTTTTTTGTTATTTATAACTTTTGTTATTTATGACTTTCTCCCTTATTTGACTGTAGACCCCCTAAGAGCTGAGTCTTTTATTCATCACAGTTTCCCTTGCACTTAGCAGTACCTGTCATTTATGCTGGTCGCTGCTAGTTCATTGCTGAGGATTTTAACCCTCAGATCTTTTTGATAATAAAATTCCTGCCCTTTCTACTGCATATTCTGTATTCCTCCCCCCATGGTTGCTTTATTATTTTATCTATCTTGAGTAATAAGTGAAATACAAAAACATTTGGATGCATTTAAAAAGTATGTACTCATTACAGTTTCAATGTGTTTTTTTATTGAGATATAATTCACATAACAAAATTCACCATTTTAAAGTGTACAATTTAGTGGTTTTTAGTATATTCACTATAATGACATATTCACTACTGCTAATTCCAGA